AAACAAAATGTGACCCTAAAACAAACATTAAGCAATAGGCTGCAATACTAGAAAGAATAAATCTAGTATCTATTTTAAAGAGATGTCAAGCTTTTTAAAATGCTTACAACATGTTCCGTAATAATATATCAGATCACCACAAAACAATTAATGAAGAATCGTTATACAAAGACACTCCTAACAAAATTGAAATTAACTCGTCCCCTCCTTAAAACCTACAAAACTAATCAAGATCAAACAGCCAAATAACTGCTCACTTCAACAAATAAATATACTACACAACTAAACAGAAAAATATTCCCTCAATCTCATTCAATAGGCTATATTTGGTTAAGAATCATTTATAAGGAATCAGCTTGAAATCAAATCCTAAAAGTAGAAAGAATATTATGAGAAAATCCATAGTTAAATTTGCTAGAAATGAACAGTGGCCTACTATTTTTGGGTATCCTCCAAAATAAGCAAAACTCAGAAAAATAAGAAAGGATAATTTTAGCGTAACCATTATTGCGATATAACTGCTAGAACTAATAATTATGAATAAGCATCCTAACTCAGGTTATATAAAAGAATATACGTATGATTATGAATAAGCATCCTAACTCAGGCTAAATAAAAGAATCTGTGTATACCAGGATAAAGGTACCTGTTGATGAACATCAGTCATGGACATGGTTAACTGCATAAACACCTTGATAGTGGCTAAAACAACTGCACCATTAGCATGCTGAAGTCTATCCTCGAGAAGATTCATGATGTCAAATACTTCACTGTTATCAGATGGCACATATTTGGCAACCAATTCAAGCAAAAGACATTGAGCCCATTCACTGAATTCTCTGATCCTGAATATATAAAGTTGAGGTATGGATTAACAATTAATGTTCCAGCTAGATCACGAACAAAATTGATAGCATAATTTGATTAAACACAAGTTCTAAGATCTAACGTTTCTCCATTAGCCATCACTCCACAGTAAGAGAAAGGTTGTCAAAGATACATATGGAGAAATGAAAACTTTTTGAAGCAGGAGAATTTTACTCCCTGCGTCCTAAAATAGTTTGAACACTTTCCATTTTCACCTATTCCATAACAATTTGAATACTTTCTTGTTCCTATAAATTATCTATTATTCCTTACCTTTCTTTTGGAGACACTATCTCCTTTTCACACCTATTTTTCCACTAAAAAAAACCACAAACTGCCAAATGGCCTCCTAGGGTCTTGGGGGTCCATGGGAAGCACACCTTGGCCTCTTTCCTTTCCGAGCCCAAAAAAGTTGAGAATTGTCCAAAATTGAAGACTATAATCTATGTTTTCGGAAAAATTTCTGGAATTTTTTCCAAAATTGAAGTGAATGTAAGGAGTGTTCCCTGGGGTCATAAAAGTTAGTTTGAAACCATAACAAGCCTAACAGGTATATAAAGTCCCGAAAAAATGAGTTTAGTTCAATTATATGGCTATTTCAAAATTCAAGCACAAAGAGAGCCTAAACAAGGCAAATTCAAGTTAGAATCTTGCAGGTTATCGAGTTTAAATGCATGAAGATCTAGAAATAGTCAATTTCTGAGCTTTAATCCAACTCCTGAAAACCCTATTATAAAATTCAAGTGTATACAGGTCACACATTGTCAAAAGTAAAGATACATGCTACCTTGCTTTTATTGAAGTAGCATACTAAGGGGTCAAAGGCAAAACAGGTATATCCCCACAATGAACAACTCAATATTACCTTAAAGCTCTTGAAACTAAACTTTTAAAAAAAAATTCCTTTCAGAAAAAAGCTCTTAGACCAGCTGCTCCAAAACAGCCTGCTGATCAGAAGCAGCAGACTGTTATACAGTGCAGAAAAAACACAGGAGCACATATATATCATATAAAATCAGCTAATTTAGGTCAATGTAATGCAAAATAAATTTCATATAAAAACACTAGCATATACATATCATATAAAATCAGCTAATTTAGGTCAATGTAATGCAATATAAATTTCACAACCACAATTAAATAAACAATATACCAGTAGTTACCTATTCAAAAAGTAATATATAAGTGGCTTGCTAAGCAAAGCATCTCTCTCCCTAGATGCTTCTTCAGAAGAACTTGCTTCAGCACTCCATATTTCTTGCAGCGCTAATAAACAATTAGCAACAACCTGAAAAAAATGTGTCAAGCCAGAGGTACCACATCATCAAATAAAAACAGGCGAGGCAAGATAAATCACCAAAGCCATGGTAGTCAACACAAAAATTTAGAAGAAACTGCTACAAAAATTAATGTACTCATTGATATTTAAAGGGGCTATATATAACCAGCAAAGCAGAGTACGAATTAGGAGGATAGCTCAAAATAAAAAGAACAAGGGTATTCAAGTTGATAATTGAATCCCATATTATTTGGAACATTAAGCTCAAATACCGGATTGCTGCCTCAGAACTTTTGAATTACATCAGACCATCAGTACATGAAGCAATTAAGTGAGATCTTTCCAGTAAGCAAAAAGTACAGTTCATAATACCCTCTTCCTAAAACAAATTTTTGTTCCAAATGGATTGATAACAAAAAATTGAAATGAATTACGCACAAGATCAAAAGCTCAAATAACAAACAACTTGGTCAAGCCACTAAAACTCTAAGTTTGTACAAATATCCAGATAAAGATACAAAAGAATTTATGAATAATGATCCACACCTGGGTTTCCGGATCATTGAGCATCAGTTGCTTGAGCATAGCAGGGAAATCAGAATCAATGCAGGTTGAAGGAGAAATGTGATACAGTTTCAAGATGCCCATGACAGCTACCATTCTCACATAACTGCTACCATCTTTCAACCCAGAGCCCAAAGGCCCGATTAAATACTCAACCAAATTTGGAACACGCAATGAACAAAGACTTCTCAAGGCAAGCCCACGAATCATTGGATCCTGATCCTTGCAATCTCTTTGAAGAAAGTTAATAGTGAGCAGCGCAAGATCAGGGTTGGACTTGGCATAATTTCCAACATACAGATAACACATTTTCTTCAGAACTATATCAGAGGTGGCAGAGCACATGACCATTTCACTAAAAACTGACGAAACATCAATGCCAATTGTCATGTAAGAGATCACTTTCTTGTAGAGCTCGCGCTTAGAATCATCGACTCCAGGTGCACGACTACCCGCCAGTTGCCGTAGCTGTAGCCTTAAATCTGAAACTTCACTTTTCCTGCAGAAACAGATAATCAAACTCTAATTCACCACACTTATGACGTATTTGGTAACTTTGATCTTTGGTTTCTTGGTTAGAATAGTAATTGACAGCAATTAATGATATACTAATAGAACTACCATGAGAAGAAACAAATAAAACACAGAAAACATTTTAAGTGTCACAACACAAAATTAACAAGCAATATGTTTTCACATTCTTTTCCATACTTGGAAATCTACAAGTATCTACATGTTAATCAGATAAATAAGAATGCAATCGGCTACATTGATATGGGCTTGCTTACATTGACTAAGTTCTCTTAATATAACTTCTCCAACAAGATCCAATGTTTGAATCAATTCCTACAAATTCCTCGTATAAAGCAAGGTCTTTAGGATCACAGACATATAGCTACCACCCAACCAAATCAATCAAAATTCCAAACTCCACAGCAACCAAAACTAACAATACCACTAGTAGTGAGCTAAAACAACGCATGCGATGGACAATTAATCAACCAGCACCCTCTAACTAAGACAGTAATTTTGTTACAACAAAACTACTCCAATAAAACCCTCCATTGCTAAATACAAACACTTTCAATAATATACTACAACAAAGATTTATTAGTCATTGCACTAAAACCCAATGGCAAACAATCGTCAGTCGTATGAAACCCAATTGTTCCACATGCTAAATAAACCCCAGAATTCTCCAAGATCATTACTTTAACAAAAAAAGTTTATCCACACCATCTCACTCCAATATAAGCATTGTATCCAACAATTAGCTAAAAGCAACTAGATTTACAGCTATCCGCAACAATTGAGCGCAATTAAAAGCTCTGATTCAGTAAAATTGATGCAAAAAACATGAAATTTCGATAAAAATTGCATGAATTAAAGCAGCAACGGAGAAAATTCCAACAAATTGCAGAAATCAAAATGCAGAAAAACTAATTGAACAACAAAAGGAAGAAAATTGACATGAGACAAAAATAGAAAGATAGAAATTACCCTGAAGGTTGAGAAGGGGAAGAAGAAGATCGCTGAGATTGATAAGCAGGAGGAGGAGCCATTGTGTCGCCGGCGATGAGAATTCGCCGGCGTCGGAAAAAGCTAGGGTTTTCCGACGATTGATTGATTGAAAGTACGGAAGGATGAATAATTGGAGATCTGTTGATGGGTTCTTCCGATCTGATGACGTTGAATGCTACAAAGAGAACGAGTTGGTGTGTGTCTGTGTTTAGAGTCTGGAAAACGAAGGAAAGTGAAGTTATATTGCCAAGGAAAACGGTGTCGTTTTGTTTTGTTTTTTTTTTTTTTTTTTTTTGGGGAGTTTTATGATTTTGGTCATTGGAGGAAAATTTATTAGTCCGTAGTATTTTCCAAAAAAAAAAGGGAAAAATTATTAGTATGATGAGTGCAAGGCCTCTATTTTGGGTTTTTGATGTTTATACTTAGGGATATTATGTTTTGTATACTGATTGAGTTGAAAATTGAAATCCTCTTCTACTTTGCGTATTAATTTCATACTATTAGTTCATACGAGTATTAAATATAACTTAAGAAGTATTATTTATTTGAATCATGGATACAATTCGAGGAAAACATCTCTCGTAAAGCTCTTGTCGTTTATCTCTGAATCGGCGAGCTTGGAAGAGGAAGAAAAAGAAGAAATGAGCTGGAAAATAGTGAAGGAAAAAAAATTAGCGAAGGATTGATATAATAAATTAAAACAGAAAAATGTACTTCGTATATGACATGGATTAGCAGGATGAAGTAATACGCATAGTGAAACAAGGGATTAAAAGCAATTTCAATTTTATTGAGTAACAATATTCATCAATTACAACTCTTGAACCCTAGTTTTCAAAAAAACTATTTATTAATAAAAATAATTCACCCCCAAAATTAATGTAGTGTAAGCTTAGATTTCCTACGAAGAATACTAAAATTGGATACAAAGAAGAAAATTTGCATGGAATTTGTCTACAAAATTGCTCTCCAAAACTGAAAGCCAATCCATTCAGATTCAAGTACCTACAAGTATTACAATTGATACAGCATATCTGCCAAAACCCAAAATGACCAACTCAAAATATGAGAACAAGCACCAGGCAACCCATTTTTGAAACACTCTTCAAGCAATAGGATTAATCGATTGCAAGAAATTGAAGTAAGCATATTTCATTTCAAATTGCATATCATACCCTGCAAGAACAAGATGAAACCTTAAACATATGTAATCAATTATCCGATACTAAAAATCTAAAGATTAAGAACAATGTGGTTCAAAGTGCTTCTTACAATAGTTGACTGCAATGGTGCGTGGGCTTTGCTTCACATAATGAAACCACATACTAGGCCTGCAATATACAAAAATGTCACATAGCATGAGCAACAATGTAGAGCCTAATGAGTTCTACACAGGATGTCAACATTTAAACAACTAAAACAAGTATTAACCAAGAGATCTAATTGCTACATGTGATCAATGAACGATGGGTTGCAGTATTAACAGGCGGCTTAACAGCTATTACGACTTGGGATAGGGGTACTGACAGTCAAGGACTCGAGTTTAAAGGCTGGAACATATGAGAGATACTCCTCAAGGATTCAATTAGGTGAGGAATAAAAAAAAAGAGAATTTTCAGAAATGGTTAAAATATGCCCTTCATAGTTCATACAGAGAAAGGTAGTTTATCACAGATTTCAATCCAAGAATGCATCTAGGCCTCTAGGGTATCCCTCATTTTTCAGGGGGGGTGTAAGAAGGAAATGATGGTGATCAATGAGATAACTCTGATGATAAGATCAATCACTGATCAACAATACATGAAAACCAATAGGCAATAAAATTGAATAATGTAATATGGAAAGCCTTATTAAAGCTGTTTAAAACTCGAAATAGGTTATAAGCAATAAACTTACTATTGGGAACAATTATGGATCCTTTCTCACCTTTTTTATACTTATTTCAGAAAAATAAGCTCATGCTTACTAAGTTTGGATATGTAAATTCCATGGCCAATAAGTTAGAAGTATATACCATTTATAGCCAATAGGGGCCACCCAAGTTCAACCAAAAGTACAGTAAAAGTTCAGGGCTCAACTAGCAATTTGAAGCAAAACTAGTTCTACTCCATATATTTATATCTGTTCGTATCTATCCTAAAGATAAAAAACGAACCATAGTAGCTAGGCACATTAGATTTAAGTAATGAAACTTACAGGTATAGCATCTCCCCAGCCTTGACTGTACATTGAAATGGCTTTGGCCCATTAAAATATAAAGGAAATTCATTGTGTTCCTTCTCCTCTCTTCCTTTAGGTGGATAAGGATTCACACTACACCAAGGGACATGTCTAATTGGATCATCGAGCTCCAAATTGAACTCTCCTGTATCCTGCAAATATAAAACCAAACTTTAACGCCTGAACCCTAAGAGACCAATTGATAAATGATGCACAAGAAAGTTTTAGAATTTATAGAAACCTGAGAATAGGAGTAGTTTGCAGCTGGGTATGGACGAATGTACATACGATGAACATCTGTGGGTGGCAACAGAAGAAAATGTTTCTCACCAGAAACAACAGCATATAGATTTTCATAATGGTCTTTGTGGAAGGAAGTCTCAGACCGATTGTTACCAATCCAAAGGTTGACAGCCTCTGGAAGACAGCCTAGAGCTTCAGAGGCCCAATCAATGTGCGTATCACAATCTGAACCTAAAACCGAGTACTCAGTCCGAAAGCAATCATTCTGTTGCTGAGCATATGCCACAACATTCTCACTCTTTTCAGAATCAGAGATGAGGCGGAAAGCATCAGGAAAGGACATGCGTTCTACATGTGCAGATGCAAAACAAAGGGAGGAAGAGTCTGCAGGATGAGGGACTAAAGAATCAGCTCGACCATTAGGAGTTAGATGGACAGACACCTCTGCTGACTCAAGGGCTTGACAAAGGTAGTCGTCAGAAGACCATAACGAAAGGGCAGGCCAGTGATCAAGGGCATTGGATATGATGCAAGGCTTGTTGGGAGCCACATAATTCCTAAGAAATTCAACAGGGGAAGGAGGAGAGTTAAGTCGTTCTACCTCGGTAGAGGTACCGAGGCTTAACTCCCTAACTTCCTCCCATAATGTTTCTATTTCTGCTGTGCCAAATCCACACTTTTTCACCATGGATAGTCAATTCTATTGATTGCACAATTATAGGGTTACTTAAAACGACGATTTAGATAGATCATATACTTAATAATAATGAAGTCCCAACACACTCCACCATAAACAGCTTCCTTGCAAATACAAATTACCTGCAGAAATTGGGCATAGTAATTACATGAAAAATACGGAGTACATTTGTAAAACATTAAAATCAAATTACTTAAACCACCAAGATTATACTAAAATGAAATATAATTATATAACAATTCTAAACTCAATTTCAATAACAACTCATCATTTATGTTTTTATGTGACCATTTTTTGTGATCGTGTTAGAGAAAAGCAAAACTTGTATCAAATAAACAAAACAAGTTCTACTAATTTGCTAGAGTTTGTGTGATTACATACAAGTATAAACTAAGCTATAATTTCCAGAAACATAGAATCAAACAAACATACAAGATGGTGATATATCAGATTTCAAACCAACTAATGCAAAATATTTATCAATAACTCAAAAAAATAAAGTGAACTAGATTGGGATTAATAGAATTAAGTTAATAAATATAAAATATGTAATCAACCAAATCAGGTACCTGGACTTGGAGGCGGGGATCCGGTGGCCGGAGGACGGAGCTCCGGCGAGAGGGATTGAGGGAGTATCGGAGTGACCGAGTGAGGAGAAGTCGAATGACAGCGAGGGAGTGTGGGAAAGAGAGCGAATTACTAATTATTGACTAGTAAGTCCGAAACTCATTTTTTGGCATTCTTTGTCAAAGTCTCCAAGAGCAAGTCTGCAAGTACCCTCATGGCGTTTGTTATAAACTCGGTAAATGGAACGGAATGAAATGAACAAAGGGAATGAAAGAGATGAGAGGTTTTTAAGATTTTTTTTTCTTTAAATAAGGTTATTAAGATTACTTATTCAACTCTAGGTTAGTTTATGTATCGGTAATTTCAATAACCATTATTAAATTAAATTACAATTAATTTTTTATAAACAAAATAAAATATGATAATGAAATTAACAAATTTTGATCAAATTAAAGGATTACGAAAAATATGTAGATACAAAAGGAACTGTGCCAAATGCAAAAGGGTTTTGATAGTGAATTAGTGATTAAAATCCAATTGACTAAGGTACAGGACTCAGGACTGAGTAATGAAGAGAGCAGATGGGAGTGGAGGGAGGAGACATGTCAAGACCTCTCAAATTAGTCTGTTTAGTAATGGATGCAATATTTGGTGCAGCAAACAGTAAGCGTAGAATAGCCTCTCAGATAGTACATTAGCAATGCACATACTTAAAATTCACATACCGAGTTAATAAATCCAAATAAACCGATCACAATTACATTGTAATTTTGTTTAAAGGCGGTAAGCAAATTAAACAAAGGAAACTAAAAGGTTGAGCAGTTGACAGTTTCCATTCTACTGAAGTTAGTCTACATTACTCAACAGCAATTAGTTATACATGCAGTCAGTATAACATAAGAGGAAGATTGTCAGTGAGCCGGAATTGATATCTGCTATCTGCTGAGTGCTGATACATTCATGAGGTAAAGAAACACACTGAATTTCCTTGCATTACCTAGGAAAAAAAATTTTAAGCTCGAGTTAGGACGACAATGACCACTTATAGATGCCTCACCAGATGTACTCATGCTGTAAATATGTAATGCAAGATTCAGATTTTAGAAGGTTACAATCAATCCATTTTGGGACTTATATCACTCGATACAGAGTTTGATCAATGGACAGATAATTAATCTAGTTGAAAAAAAAGTATAACATAACTCGAGGAATTGACAGTTTGGAGTCAAGAGTAAAACCGCGGGACTTGAAGGAGTCCACCCGTTTCTTTTATTAAAAAATATAAGGGGAACAAAGTCTAACAAGTTTCACAAAGGTTAACAAACCACAAACTACATACATAAGATATCAACTATAAGAGATTAAGAGGACAAAGGTTACAAATATCACCAGAAAACAGAACTTCTGTCCAGCTTGTTTCTTGACAAGCTGTAGCTCATATACATGATCATGCCATCTGAATTGATGCCCCATATGTTCCCAAAGTGCTGACACTGGCCTATGATTAGCATCATTGTGGTGTAAGCTTTTCCCACCTTCTAGGAATGGTTGAAAAGCTCCACAAACCATATGCTCAGCCGCTCAGGCCAATCCAAGTCTACTACCGAAATTATTAACATAAAACAAGGGCCTTGATTTACCCCACACAAACACCAAGGTGGTTAATTCAGGAAACAATTAAATGGCGTCAAACAAAAAATTGCACCCCTGTGCAATTGCATTTGGCTTGATTCTTGGTGTATCACCGGTTGCATCAATTATCTATTGATGCAGACGGCCTGGCATCACTAAGGAGCATCGAAACAGTCACCATCATCATTTTAGTACAACAATCCTACAATGCATCGCTGATTTCTGTTTTTCTCCTCAATAACTTGCAGCTTAATGCACCCCACAATCTTCAAAATCCCTGAAAGCATCGAGCAATAACAAATTATGACATATCAAGGAGCAGGAGTGGTAAAATGCACAAAGCACTTTTAATGAGCTCCAAAGCTGTACTCATGCAGTCATGCTGTATGTACATTGTCATAAGACTAACACACATTGAAATCTGACTAAGAGTGGCACAAGGGTAAACATGTACAGCAAATCTTAATTTTTCCCTGTAATAAACAACTTAGTAACCCAAAATACAGATTCATAAAATTCAGCTTATCAAAGGAAATAGGCATAATAATTCAAGTGAAATTTTAGAAGCCTATAGTTTGCAGGATCACCTTTGTGAGGTTAGCATGGATTAGTTCCTCTGATTTGAGACTATTATTCAAACGTACAATTCTGTTGTTATCAGTATATGGGAAGAGCTGCAATAAACAATAGCAGTGTCAAACGACTAATTGAGTAGGATGAGAAATGGAAAATGCAATTCAATTAAACTTACAGCAGCATGGAATTGTTCATCAGAAAATCTTTGTTCTGGTAGACATCAGTCGCGTTAAACCAACAGAAAAACGAAGAAGCAGACTTTATTTGGTTCTCACTTATCACAATATAACGCCTAAAAGCTGCCCAAATGTGAAGATATGATTAGTGTTGATTCTTAACCAAGAACAAACTGTAGAAAATGCATCACCTACAGAGCAAGTCTGACAATTGTGTCCTTCCTTCTCTTCAGTCTATGTCCTTTCAATTTCATTCAACAATATAATCTAAACTTAATATCGAATGTACTCATCAATTCAACTTACCTACATATTATGTTTTACATTGTACTTAATAAAGTCATGCATACCTTAATCGAAGGAAGTCAAAATGCCAAAAGTTTACTATCCCATATTTAAATTTCACATTAAACACTCAAACATAAAATTATATAGAGACAAAATGCAGGTTTCAGAAACTCACAATATAACATTGGGAATATGTTGGAGAAGGTGGCAATCTTGGCCATTCGACTTCTCATATCTTTCTTTCATATCTGGACAACTGCTTATACAAAGCTTTTGTAAAGAGGTAAGGCCTAATAATGATAGTGGAAGTGACACCATTTTTGGACAATCAACAATCTTCAGCTCACGCAACAAGGAGAGGTTGCTCATCTCTTCTGGGAGTTGTTTCAAGGTGTTGAAATGACTGATTTCAAGTTTCTGAAGCGTGGTTAAGCAAGCAATGCTTTGAGAGAGCTCTTCTTCCAAGTCACTATCACCGCCCTCAATTATCAGTGTGTCAAGGACAGATATATTTCCCACTGATATGTTTTTCAAGCTTTTGCACTTATAAATTTGGAGATGTCTAATGGGATTTAACGACTCTATCATCAAACTTGTCAGTTCGTTGCAACAGCCTATTTGTATACTCTGTAGATTAGTGAACCTACTACTGATTGACAGAGATAGAAATATCCAACTTTTAATGAAGTAAAAAGAGTTGTCGAAGAAGAAGATGCTTCCTCATCATCAACTGATGTCAGATTGGATTCAAACACCTTCCAATTGATTACTTGAGCCCTTAATGACTCCAGCTTTGGCGCTAGAGGCATTGACATCAACTTGGAGAAGTGATCAACTTCATTTTCAAAAGACGAGGAAACAACAACTGCCTTGGCTCACCATCATTATCACCCTTTGATGGTCTTGTCCACCCCTTTAGAGACATCAAACCCAATAATTGCAAGTCTTCTAAAGATGGGTAGTAGACATCACAAACCGAAATGTCATCTTCATATTCTACATACTCCAAGCTATCAATTGAAGAAAGATAAAGTTCTTTGAGATGAGGCAGCCGACTCATGTGAGGGAGAACTCTGCAATTTCTGCAATACTCAATACGAATGAAAACAAGCTTAGATAACCCATCTAACCATCTACGTGGCATCTCAACTCCTTTGTACTGCTGAACAAAAATGTTCTTAAGATTTGGAGGCAGTTGCAAGGACATTAACATTCTATCCAATTCACCGAAATCTGCAGGAGTAACTTCCATGGATCCAAACATTAACTTAAGACGTACCAAATGCGTATTGTCCTTCAAATTTGCCCTCTGTGCTTCCACAACAGCATCACTCCGCCACTTGCTGAATTCAAAATCCACATTTTCACTAATGTTCAAGGGTGGCAATGAATCTATACCATTGTTTTTCCCAACTATAAATACATCTAACTCTTTCAAAGCTGTCATATTCGCGAATCCTGTTGGAAAATCTCTTAAACCGCTATAAAGAATTTCCAAGTGCCTCAGGCTGTCCAATTTACAAAAATCTCTAGGCAACTCTCTAAGATTAAAGCATCTCAAAAGATTCAGTGTTTGCAGATTCTGTAATCTTGTTATATTATCAGGAAGACATTTTATAAGATCGTTTCTTGCAAGATTAAGGTATCTCAGGTGTCTCAACTTCCCTATAGAATTCGGAACCACAGAGATCTTCTTACCCTCTAAGTCTAAGACACGCAAAGACTGAAATTTCAAAACCATCATTTCAAGAGATGATGATTTGATAGCAATATTAACATTGAATCTTAACAGTATCAATGACCGTATCCTCCTAGCAGCAAGCAAAGACACTGGAGCTTCCCATTCACCATCTTCTAACTTTTCCAATTTAGCACTCACATGTATAAGTTCATCAGTTGACGATATCTGGTCTAAAGGCTCAACCAATTGTTTCATCTCTTCACTAGCTATATCTTGAGCCAAGTCGTGTACTAAATCGTGCATTTTGCATTTGAAGTTCCCTTCAGCATCTTCTCTAGGACCTTGAAATAAGCTCCTCCCCAACAATTTCATAAAGTATTTCTCTCCAATACCTGTGCTTGATTGCTCAAAATATCCTTGCGCCATCCAGAGTTTTACCATATGATTCTTACTATATTCGTAGTCCTTTGGGAACAACGAACAGTAAGAAAAGCATTGCTTTAATGCCGGTGGCAAGTAGTCATAACTCAATTTCAACACTTGCATGATACCATCTTCCTTCCCCTTTGCCTTTGAGAGTCGAGCATCTCTAATTTGTCGCCACTCTTCCTCACTAATATCAGGTAGAAGGCTTCCAACAACCTTGATAGCAAGGGGAACATTTCCACAGCTATCGACAATCTCCTTCCCTAACTGAGTCAAATAAGAATTATTACTCTCTTCTTGCTCTGATCGGAATGCTAATTTTTTGAAAAGATTCCAGGACTCTTCTTCAGTTAGAAGTCCCAGATTGTGGGCTTCTGTTGTCCCAACAGCTTTTGCAACATCAGCAGAGCGTGTTGTTACAATAACTCTACTTCCAGTTGCACCACATTCAAGCAAACTTAGAAGATCCAACCATCTATTCCAACTTTCATCCCATACATCATCTAAGACAAGAAGATACTTCTTACCCTCAACCGATTCTAGGATGCATGATTCAATCGCGCTAAATAAGAGTCTATCAAAATCATCTTTACCGGTGAAGCATTGGTAAACTCTTCTAATTACAGTGTTTTGATCACCTACCTCAGGTACACAGACCCATTTAGTAAGATCAAAATGGTTCTGAACACCCTCATCATTAAAAACCAGTTGAGCAAGAGTAGTTTTTCCAAGACCTCCAAACCCCACAATTGGAATCACAGTAATCCTTTTCCCATCAAATTTAGGATCAAAAAGCATTTCAGTAATTATTTTTTTGTCGTTTTCCCTACCAGTGACATATTCTTTTACATGAGAGCCTGATTCTCTATTCCTCATGAAGCGAGCCCTGAGTGATTGTGGTTCACCTCTATGATCACGATAGGCATTCAGGTTTAAACCAGCAATATCTGAATTGATTTCATCAAGTTGTTGGCGAATAGACTTGATTTCTCTAGATATTTTCCAGTTAAAACAAAGAGTGCCTGAGCTCGAGAAGGGAATACAAACCTGCTTGTTCATTTTCACCTGTTTCTCCCGGTCAACAGTGAGGACAAGATCAAACAAGTCATCAACTTGGTAAAGCACCATCCTCAGCCTCCGAAGCCACTCTTTGATGGCATAATCTCTGCCACCTGGCTCTTCATGGTTCCTCTCAGCATCACGAACTCGAGCTTGGATCAACTTGATGGTTTTCTCAAGCTTCTTCAAATCGTCTCATGCACCCCACCAGGATGCAGCCTCTTTTATGGCTGCTTTACCCAAGGCTTCCAACACTGTTCCAGCTAAGTTGAAAGCAACCCCCTCTGCCATTTTTTTTTTTTTTTTTTTTTGGTGAGTTGTTTGGTTAGTATTTCAATCCCTTTTCTCTCTATCTCTGTGAGGAGTTGTAAATGTTGATGATGGCCAAATTATGGACTTTGCTATATTGTGTATAAAATAATATGTGAATGTTCACTGGTGAGAGCAGTGTGAAACCAAGAAGGCTATTTATTTAAACATCAATAACATATACAACCTATTACAAAGTATTATTAATTTGAACTAGTCTTTGGGTCTGAGCTACACACCTGATTAGATTATTGCATGAGCTATTTTTGTGCATTAATGTCATGATCAATATCTCCTGTTAGTTCATTTATATACTGTTCAAGCTTAGAATATTTGATTATTGAGATCACAGTGCAACTTTTCAAATGAGAACTTTCAAACTACCAAACTATTAGACCACTTATTCTGAAAGATGCAATTCAAAGGAAGATAAACAATTATACGACAATAGATGTTATTTCGTTGAACTTAAGAGTAATGTGTGAATAAAATGATCAGGTTGTGACTATAAATAGTGTGATTAGTGTCATATAATGCTTACCAAGGTAGACAAAATTATCCACTTTAGGCTATAAATAGTGTGATTAGTGTCAATTTCTTTTGTTATTTTCATCATTCTTTTCTTTGTCAAATTGGGGTGGTAGAGTTTAAGGGGTCGATGCACCTTCTCTTGTCATGGTAGGCTCTTCATGTCAATATTTTCAATCATGGATCTTCAAATTGTCAAAATTCTTGCTGAAGACAATGAAGAGTTATTTCAAATTGACAAGAGATCTTAATGTTTGTATACCTTACCTTTGCTTAAAATATCTTTGGTGTGAACAATAAAACCACAGGACTTGAAGGAGCCCACCCTTTTTTTCTTTTATTATAAATAACTTGAAGGTAGCAAAATCTAACAAGATTCACAAAGGGTAACAAACCACCAACTACATACAAGTACATATATATATATGATACAACAGTGAGAGGAGAAAGGTTACAAATATTACCAGAAAACAGGAGCCAGAGGTTATGCCCAACTTTGTTTCCTGACAAGCTAGAGCTCGTATTCATCACGATCAAGCCATCTGAATAAAAGCTCCAGATTTAAGCATAAATGCACCAGAACAATCCCAATAACAGCCTGTGATTAGCATCATTGTGTAGGCTTTTCCAAACTTCTAGGAAGGGTTGAAAAGCTCACCAATCATATGCTTAGGCCAAACCAAATCAGATACCCGAAAATAATACATATGTTAACAGGGTGTTATCAGGGACTTATCGTTCCAGTTAGCAGCATTAAGTTGCGGTATTTCAACAGCAAAAAAGCAGAGCAGGCCTTAATTAGGTATCACAATTCACAATAGGCTATAAGCTGTCCAAATGTGATGATACAATTAGAAATTGTTGATCCTCCTTAACCAAGAACAAACAGTAGAAAATGCATCACTTAGGCTAAAAAGCTAGCCTGAAATCTGTTTCCTTCCTTCTCATCAGTTTATGTCCTTTCAATTTTTAAACTTACACACAAATATAGTTTCATAATATTATAGTAAGAAAAAAAACATTAACAATGCACAAAACATTTCTTACAAAAGGTGTAGAAAGTTCATTAGCAATGCATAAAAATTCTGTTACAAAATATGTACAGGTACAGCTATAAAAATGTAAAAAATTCCATTCTCATTGCATTTGAAATTTAGACGTGTAAACAAACTTCAATTATCAAGTATTTTCGAATACACAGATCAGAAACACAATGGAAGTTTTAAAGTCATTAAAAAAAATAAAGAATAGAGAAAGGAAAACCTAAGGGTTGACAATAACCATTCTACTCGTATGTACTTAATCTAGTTAAACATATCGATTCATAGACAGCAGGAACTGCTATCTGTTGATACACTCATCATTTTAAAAACATACTGAATTTCCTTGCATTACCAATAAATTTAGACTTGTCTTCCATCCATTGAATGTCTGAAGTCTCATATAACGGACTTAATCTATCTGACTATTGAAGGTAACAATCAATCCGTTTTGAGACCTATTACTGAATGCATGGATGTAAATACCAACAAACTCAATTTCACTGAGCAAAGAACTCTTTGGAACAGCTAAGAGAGTTTTATACATCTGGTATTCCCACCATAATTGGTCTTTTTCCGGGTCTTTTTTTTAGCCTACCAAATCACAAGATGATACATAAAGCCGCTCCAAAACATTTGCGTTACTAAGAATGCATTCTAGCATCTTCACATTGACATTCCTTTCCATTTGCAATAGTTGAAGCCTCTTGAGCTTACTAAACAAACACAATGGAAGCATCTTTTGGACATCCAAGTTATAATGAACAGGTCCAACACTAGGCTTAGTCCAAATAAGATGGGTTAGATTACAGAATATTGAACCAACATCAACTTCCAAGTAATTAAGGGCTTTGATGAAACACATATTACGACCCAGGCTAACAGACTCTACACCAGAAATCCTTTGAAAAATCGGTAGCATTTTGCTAAGTCTATAATCAGGAGCAAGTCCCCAAACATCAATCTCTGCCTTAATCACTTTAGTTGGATATTGGACAAAGCTATAATCCCCAGCATAACCCTTTAGCGCAAGGTGTTCAAGCAAAGCCAAAGGTAATAAAACAGAACGAGGTAGGTAATGGTCAACCATTATCTTGACCGTAGCTACATTACGTGTACAAATGAAACGAATCCATGACTTCAATATCCCCGGGCGAAACTTCTTAAGGCCAGGGTCAGGAATATCAAGGTTGAAGGTGTGGATAAGTGGGGATTTGAGTTGGCGGAGGATATGATGTACGACAGCTTTGAATCTGATGAATCTTTTCTTTCGAATTTTCCGACAACGGTTCCATGGAGGATCATCACCGTCGAATGAGAGGTGGGGGAGTTGAGTCCAGAGGTGGCGCCACCGTTTAGATAAAGCGGAGGTTGCGGCGGCGGATTTTAATGGTAAAAAAGAGAGTATTTCAACCAAAAGGGCGTCTGGGAGTGAGCTTTATCTGTCTTCTACACTAATTTTGTTGGGGTTCTCAGTCAAATTCTTATTCTTTGATTGCAATTTCCTTCTCTTGTGGTACGAGGAAGTTTCAGCCATTATTAGAGATTTAGAGGTGATTGTGATTGTGATTGTTGTTAATACTAGGGTTTTTAATAAACAATCTGGTATTTAACCTTTGTGTGACATGAATAAACCTAACTCGTTATGGCATGATTCAATATTAATGGAAACGATATATTTAAAGATTAAGTTTATTAATAATCCAACCTATTTCAACCCAAATTGAATATAACTATCTCAGTTTTAAAACGTTAAAATATGTATGGGCCTAACCAACACGATAAATTTTAAAACTAACTCACTATTTGATTAATCAAACATGCCTATTAACACAACTTGTTTATTGTTAGACTCAATTATGAGTTTATGACCCAACTTAGTTATGACTCACCCCGTTCAAACCCGATGCTCAACTAACCCAACTCGGATAAAGTCCAACTTCATTATTACCAAATTCGATCGAACCAAGACCTTATTTAGCCCAGCTAAGCACAAACTCGTCTCCTTTCAACCCATTTTAGTTTAAAACCCAATATAACCTAACTAAAATTGACTAGATAATTTTCAAAATCAACCCAATTGACCAAGGTTAACTTGACCAAAATTCAAAATGCCAACCCTATCCGGTTGTGTTGATCCAAAATTTCATATCCAACTCCATCGAATCTTTTTGAGGTTTTCTACAAACTTTAGTATTGAATTTTCTGTTTGGTAGACATTATTTTAAACCTCTCTCAAGATGCCTTTCTGTCTTTTGTGCAATTGAGTAGTGTCATCTATTATACACTGTAGCAATTGCTTCTATAGTCCATTCAATGACATGAGTTATAACTCGCAAGTAAAAATTTGGCAATACATTTAAGTGAAGAATCTATACTTAGTATTTAAAAAAGCAAACCAAAAAAGACATATGTTATCATTCTATTACACTTCCCTGTCATCTTCTTCAACTCAATGTGTCACATGTCGTTTTATATATATATATATATATATATATATATATATATATATATATATATATATATATATATATATATATATATATATATATCAATTATACAATTCTTCTTAACTCTTTCACTCAAATTAAACACTGTTTTTGTGGTTTTAAAATCTATATTAAAGCATACGAGTAGTTACAACATTATATACACATACTCTTGCCTTACTTAGCTACAATTACAGTCTGTAAATGTTGAGTCCCTTAGGTTTTGATTGATAGTTTTGAATGATGACAAACAGCTAAGGGAAACAGGTCCTTGAAAGTGTTCGATACAGTTGGGGAACCAGCTAACATAGAACACTGTTTCCCCAGACAAGTTATTACTTACATGAGTTTTCTTATTGAACTAACTTGTCTTTATACAGGGAACAGTTATATGATAAAAGTGTTATGTACTGGTAGGGAACCAGTATGTACTGTTTCCATGGTTGCTACGTGGTAAAGCAGTCACATACTCTTTATTGTGCATTAACCATGTTACATGTGCAGTAGTTGAGTTGATTCCAAGACTTGGAGCATAGAAGCCTTTCGAAGATATTTCGAAGAAAGATTGTTTGCTCATAATAGAAGTATTCAAGGAAGATTCAAGTCTTGAAGATTACATGAAGAAAAGACGATTTATGCTTTAATATGTTATCTAGGTTTTCATGTAATATGCTCCGTAGTATGCTTGCATGTTTGGGTTATATAAGTGCTTAAAAGTATATTGAAGTATGATATGAAATCTGGTACAAAGTTGGAACAGGTTTCATAACATGTTTCAATTCAGGGAACCAGGTTGGGGAACCAGGTTCACTGTATTCGAGCTGCCGTTTTGGAAAAAGATTTTACAAAAAGATTTTTTCGAAAAGATTATCTTGAAAATATTTTGTGCAGCTGGAAATAAGATGAAATATTCTTGGTTACCTAAAATCTAGGAGTATTTATCTTAATTGATTCTATCTTTGTGATTAAATCAAATAAGATAAAAACTTTCCTAAAATTACATTATATCTTATTCTCTAAGATTGTGTGATTTAAGGAAACTAGGTTTTAGGAATCTAAGCTTATATAAACTCATCTTATTTCACATATTTCGTGTGACTCTCCAGAAATCAAAAAGAGCAATTATTTGAGAGCATATACTTAAGCACTAATCCCATTCATCAAGTCATATACAAGAGCATTCTAGTACTTAAACTTTTTCTCTTAATTAGCTTCGTAGAAGTGAGATCAAAAGGGGAGTTCTTGATTCTTGTATTGAGTCTTTA